CACTAGGGTTTAGAATCGACTGTTCATGCGATCTTCTTCTTCACAGAAACATCACATCTCCAGGGGCGCCCTAAAGTATTTGCTATACTACCACCAAGATCTACACACTAACCTAGTTCCAGGAAGAAGCTATACAGATTAAGCCTCTTTTCTTCCTTAAGCTGGTATTGGAATTATTAATAGAATTGCTCAATGCAGTTCTCCAAAGTCGCGCTGGAGTTTTTTGTTTGTTACTACCACCAAGATCAGCAAACTAATGAAAAGACTGATGCAGAAGACTTTCGATTTTATTGATGAAGTTGCTTCTGACGTGGAAATGGATGAATATTTGTTATTTCTACTTTCTACATACTTTGGCAAAGAATTTTCCGCTAAGTTAATAAGTCAAGTTGGCTCTGTAAAGCAACAGGAGGAAATTAGCAGAGGGAATTATCGGCGTCTTCTAAATTGATACACACGATGATCCAAGTTCGGCATCAGAATTTAACTTTGGTTCAAAAGTTAACTCAGAAATTTCGGATATTCATGATCAAGCAACAACTGCAAATTTTCGTTGAGGAATTATAATCAAAATCATCATTACATTGCAATGTTGGGGTTCAAGAGAATCTTCTCCTGTGAAAATATTGTACTTGAAGAGGAAAATTCCTCTTCTTCTGGACCAAATCTCAATAATTTTCTTTGTTTGCTGGATTTGTACGCTTAAAATTGTTTCTATATAATTTGATGAAGACTCTGGAGGAATCCTGAGGTTGACAAAATTTTTCAGTAGATAATATTGATGAAGTGTCTTTTGATGTAGAAATGAATCTATATAGATATAGTTATTTGTAAACTATTTAACAAAAATTTCATCCCAATCAAGGGACTACAATCCCTGAAAATTTCAGCCCATATACATTTATAGTTCCTGAGATAAAATCGTGTTAAGCAATTTGGGGTGATTTATCAATTTTTCAATTTTTCTGAGTGCCTTTTTTGATAGATTTCGGCTTCAAATCTGAAAATCATTTAGTGTATGGAGTTTGGGGTATGTTGATTGACCATTTGGATACAAAATCTTGACAAAAACAAATTTGAAATTTCATCGTTTTAGTAAGAAGGTACCTAGCTACCTTATGATTTAGATTTTGGAAAACTTTGAAAAGTCATATTTTTTTTCTATTATAGATAGAAAGCTGAAACTTTCACTGAATTTTATCCCAATCAAAGGACTACAATCTCTGAAAATCAGCACATTTGCACTTACAGTTCTTGAGATAAAATCGTGTTAAGCAATTTGGGGTGATTAATCAATTTTTCAATTTTTCTGAGTGCCTTTCTTCATAGATTTCGGTTTCAAATCTGAGAATAATCTAGTGTATGGAGTTTGGAAGGAAAAATTCCTATTATACTGGACTGAATTTCAATAATTTGCTCAACTTTCTTGGATGTATAAGTTGGTTCTTGGATGTATACGTTCAAAAAATTGTTGCTACATAATTTAATCATGACTCAGAAGAAATCTTAAGGTGGATGAACAAAACTCTCAGTAGCTAATATTGATGAAGTTTCTGATGTAGATGTTTGTGAACAATTAGACAGAAAAATGAGCAACAAATTTTCTACTTCACCAGATGTAGAGTTTTCCAGCAAAGATTTCCGAATCTCAATGCTGGAATCCTGTAAATAATAGGTGGAAATCTGCGGGACGAGCGGAGCGAGTTCCGCAGCCATCTACTCATCAGGTAATCAGATAACGAGTGAATTGCTGCGGAACTGCAGATTTCCACACACCGAAACTTCAGCATTGAGATCCGGAATTCTTTGCTGGGAACCACTTACATCAGTTCAATTAACATTTCTTGCCAATTTTTCTGTCAAACTGTTCACAAACAACATCTAGATTTATTTTTAATTTCTACCCTACTTCAGGAACAATCCACTCTTGATCAAGTTATGAGATAATGAGTGGACTGAGTTACTCTTAATAGTAGTGAAACTCAATCCACTCATAATCTGATAACTTGATAACGAGTGGATTGTTTCTGATGTTTGTGAACAACTAGACAGAAAAATGGCAACAAAATATTACTTGAACCGATGTAAAGGTTCCCATCAAAGAGTTCCGGATCTCAATATTGTAGTTTTGGAACTCTGCGGGACGAGCAAAACGAGTTTCGCAGTAATCCACTTATCAAGTAATCAAGACCCTTATTTTAGAAACAGGGGAGCAGCGTTCCCAGGAAAACGAGTGTTCTGTCTTTCTCAATGATATGCGAATGATAATAGAAGTAACAAAGACGAAACATTCGCTCTCTTGGGAATGCTGCTCCTCTGTTTGAAGAATAAGGACCCTCTCATAACGGGGTAGATTGCTGCGGAACTCGCTCCAGTCACTCCGCTCGTCCTGCAGAGCTACTCTAATCAATACCAAAACTCAATCCACTCATTATCTCATAACATGATAATAAGTGGATTTTTTATGATGTAGATGATGTTTGTGAACAACTAGACAAAAAAGTGATAGCAAATATTACTTGAACTGATGTGGGAGGTTCCTAGCAAAGAGTTCCCGATCGACCAGGTCTAAATGCTGGAGTTTTGGAAGTAATGTTTCAAACTTTGCAAGATAAGCAAAGCGAGTTCCGCAATAATCCACTCGTTATCAGGTAATCAGATAACGGGTGGATTGCTGCGGAACTCGCTCCGCTCGTCCCGCAGAGTTACTCTCATCAGTAAGTACCTGAACTCAATCTGCACTCATTATCTGATATAACTTGATAATGAGTAGGGTAGATTGGTGCGGAACTCGCTCTGCACATCACGCAGAGTTACTCTCATTAGTACCAAAACTTAATCCACTCATTATCTGATAACTTGATAACGAGTGGATTGTTTCTGATGTTAATGAACAACTAGGCAGAAAAATGAAGACAAAATATTACTTGAACTGATGCCGAGGTTCCCACCAAAGAGTTCTGGATCTCAATATTGAAGTTCCGCAGTAATCCACTTGTCAAGTAATCAGATAACGGGGTAGATTGATGCGGAACTCGCTCCGCTCGTCCTGAAAAACTACTCTCGTCCTGCAGAGCTACTCTTATTAGTAGATACCTGAACTCAATCCGTACTCATTATCTGATATAACTTGGTAACAAGTAGGGTAGATTGCTGCGGAACTCGCTCCGCATATCTTGCAGAGTTAGTCTAATTAGTACCAAAACTCAATCCACTCATTATCTGATAACTTGATAACGAGTGGAGTATTTCTGATATAAACTGCTGGACAAATGAAACGGAACAAGGGAATTTTTAGTTCAACTTTGGATTCCAATATTACGCGAACCAGAGAAGAAATCAATGAGCGATTTGCGTAATTTAAAAGATAATTTCCCAAACCGCTCATTGATATCTTCCTAAGTTCGCGTAATATTGGAATTTAAAGCTAACCTAAACATTCGCTTGTTCCGTTTCATTTGTCCAGCAGTTTAGATGATGTTTATGAACAACTAGATAGAAAAATGGCGACAAAATATTATTTGAACTGATGCAGAGGTTCCCACCAAATAGTTCTGGATCTCAATATTGAAGTTTTGGAACTTTGCGAGTTCTACAGTACTCCATTTATCAAGTTATCAGATAACGGGGTAGATTGCTGCGGAGCTTGCTCTTGCTCCGCTCGTTCTGCAGAAACTGATGTAGAGTTTCCAGGCAAAAAGTTTTGGGTCGCAATGCTAGAGTTTTGGAAGTAATAGATGAAACTTTGCTGGATAAGCGGAGCGATTTCCGTAGTAAACCACTCGTTATCGAGTAATCAGATAACGGGTGGACTTACTTTCATTAGTATCAAAAACCAATCCATTCAGATAATTTGATAACAAGTGAATTGCTAGGGAGCTTGCTTCAAAACTCATATACTCGTTATCAGATTCATATTCATTCAGATTTATAGTTAAACCTTTCAAAGGAAATAACAAGTTAACGAGATCAGATAATACTTGTACTTAAGTATGATTTACACTAAAGTAATCGAAATAACCCTTAAAATTTGTGATTTTTTGATGATTATGGACTCTTGATTTGTTGGAATTTTCCTCCTGAAACCAATCAAGCGCCGGTAATAGTCTGGATTTTGATTATTGCTGACTGCTTAATCATTCTTTTGCCAATTACTACATATTCTACATGTGAAATTTAGATTCCTACTGAATTATCGTGTATGTAGGTACTATTTAACCAGCAACACTTTTCTCTAAAATCCATACTGTTTGTAGCGTATGCAAAATACTCATTGTAAACAAAAAATGTTGCAAATATAAATAATAATAGACCAGTATAGGTAGGGTACCACTACTTGAAACCTGACCGAAGTACCACCAACAATTGCCACACCACAATATGTAAACTGAAAACCCGGCGTGCTGTGTGTGTGTCGGTACTCCCAAACAAATGATCATCAATATGCAAAACGGTCCGTTTCGCGGGAGTAGGGAAATAATTCACCTTTTCACAATATCTGCGATCAGTCAGTTGATATTTAGCGCCACTTATATATCACACAGCTGCTCCCTGACTATATATAACCTTTGGCACTCTTCAGTAGCATCAATAAAGCAACCCCAGTAGTAACAAACTTTTATTTTAAATTATTTTTTGAGTTTGTGTTAATTTGGAATAAAACAATATATGAAGTGATTTGTTTGGGTAGTATATGGAATTCTTATGTAAGTAATTATTTATCTTAATTATTTATCAAAATAGTTTAATATTTTTCTACCGTAAAACGCATACCTATAAAATTCAGGCACACCCATATACCTACCTACATAATTACTAATAATAATAATTTACTTAATTTTACGATAAACACAAATCTAATTGTTTATATCCTTGTTTTTCTATATTCATACATAATCCTCTGAAGATCACGAATCCAATTTAAATCTTTCCACCACGGTAGCGTGTTTGAGTACTAATTAATGTGCTGGCTGTACAAGGTAATGTTTGCTAATAAACCCATAGATGAGGCGAATTTAACATTCATTTTACCTTGTAAATGTAGTATATTGGGGCTCAGCTATTCAGTTTTGCATATCTAATTAACACGCCTGTGGATAATTATTGTGTATTAACAATCGCGTTATTGCTGGTTTCTGCAATTTGTATGTTATTAATTCTTTTGTTGTTTAGTTTTCAATAAGATGCTTAATCATCTCTAGTATATCTTCTTTGAAGGTTTTCACTTACTCAATAAAAAGAAGCTTAAAAGTTTCAAAAGTATGTAAGTCAAGTCACTTTTATGTAAAGTCAAAATCAAGTTCACACTTTTCAGTTAATAATTTGAACTAAGTACTTCCCGGATCTTTCAAAACTTTTCTGGATCTCCTTAGATTTGTATGTATCGAACCTTTTTATACCATTCTACTTTTGGGCGGCTGTTATTTTCATTTTCTCTGAATTTTTTCCAATTCTCTCGGATTTCCTTAATATCAATTCCATATTCTTTCTTAAATTTCTTGAAACTGTATCAATACTTCCTTAAACTTCCAAAATTTGATGTTCTCCTTTAAAAAAAAAAACACCCATATTTTGTATAGAATTTTCCTTGATGATCTGATAAGAATTTGCTGGTACCTACTGCCTTGAGCAACTCTGATCATTTTGAAGGAACTTTTTCCTTCGAACTTATTAGAACTAGATAGTGTTTCTCAATTTGAAAAGTTTGAGATTTTCAGAAGCAATTTCATATGATTTGGTAGTAGCTTTAGGTGTCTTAATATCCAATCCCCGCACTTTGCTATTAGTTTTCGAAAATTCTTCGGTTCTAAAACTACCTATATAATCTTTGACTTACTTTGAAAGTTGATTGGGACACTTTTCAACTTATGTATTTGGAACCTAATATGAAAGCTACTGTTTCTCAATTTGCAAAGTTGGAGATTTTTTTGGAAGAAAAGAAATTGCTCCATATTCTGAAATATGTGATCTTTCACCTTGTTCCTAATATCATTTTTTAATTTTCTCCCTGTAATAATTATTTTTTGTTTGTGTTGTTATTTTTTTAAGTTTATTCCTATACCTGATTTTTTGAGGACTAAAGTGAGATGTTATTTCTTTTTTTTTAAATTGTCTCGTTTTTTTATTGAAGTTATGATTGGTGTTCCATGGTTTGATTTTTTTAAACTTATGCGTTACTTCTACCCACTTTCTGGATTTGGTAATTATATTATTTAATTCAGTAATCAGAATATTTGCGGCATTCTTCTTCTTCTCAGTTTCTTATGGCCTCTTGTCGTCTCGCAGCAGTCAGCCAGAATTCCAACAATTGTATCCTCAAGACAGCAGGATTCCACTCTTTTGGCAGATACTTTAGTTTCCAAAATGGGTAATTTTAGCTATGGCGTCTTTAGCTGGGAAATTGGAGCGCCAGGAAAATAGGACATTCGTTGGAGTACCTAGAAGAAAACCTTTTTCTATTAGTTTTCAATTTCAATTACCGATCATGTAATTCAAAGCTCAATTCGCAAAAATTAACAAAGACTAAAAGCGTGCACATCACCAATACCTATATGATGCTTCTTAATAAAATCTATCACCGCAGCAGCCTCCCTACTAGATGGATTCGCCAAAATTTCTTCCATCAGAATCGGGCCCTCCTTTATTCCAATCAAACTTGTATACAGCCTGTCTGTCAGGTCTCTATTAAGATCATAATTCAATAGTACGTGATTCAGATCACCCACTTCTTCACATTCACAATTCTCACTGTCCTGCATACCAAGTTTATGAAGGTGTTTTGGTATGAGGCAATGTGCCGTTCTCATTCTGCAAAAAACACTAGCTTTCTGTCTATTTTCTACATTTTACTGAACCATGGTATTCGTAGAAGTTCTTTCACTAATTTATGATACTGGTTCCAATGATTTCTGCCCTTATTGGAATATTCCACAGCCCATTCCCTCCATGTTTCTTCCTTAGTTATTGGCCAGATCCTCATAGTTTAATGTTTTATTTACAAAGACGTTTGCCCTTCCTGCAAGGTCATCTGCCTTATCATTTCCTGTTATGCCTGAGTAACTAGGCACCCATATCATTTTAATTTCCACACCCCCATCCTGCATTTCTAGAATTTTTTTCCCAGTTTTTAACGTGCTTCTATCTGAAGCTCTATGAATACCAGCTCTGAATATTTTTTAGATGGCACTCTTGGAATCCGAAATCAGGATAATGTTTCTTTTATCATTCTCCAAGGTATTCAAGGCTGTATAGATGGCCAACACCTATGCTGAGCAAATATTAGTTGAATCCTGATATTTTCCTATTATTGAAAATTTATTTGTGTTATTGAAAACTCCAATTCCGCACTGTGCTGTTATAGGGTCCAAAGATGTGTACATAATATGTTGATAATCTATGTATCTAAAATTTCCTGAAGTTTTACTTGAGCATCTAGGCTATCCTTTTGTATGTTCGAATCAACCCATTCTATTTTTCATATCTTCTTCGTAACATGGTAGATTATCCGATTTTTCTAATATTTCTATATGGGCAAGCAAAAAATCCGCTCCCTCCATAACCGCCGGAGCGCCCTTGGTCCGCCAATAAGGAGGGCCCTGGTTGTATAACGCATAGAAGTTGATTATCCTTTTGTTTAACCTCATCCCCTTGTAATGCCATTTTCCTCAGCATCAATCTTGTACTCAGAAGATTTCTTCGCTTAGCCAGTGGTATTTCAGCCGCTTCGAATAACAACGCCATTATGGGTGTACTCTTCATAAAGCCAGTCACCCCTCTCAGGGCTTGGTACTGGATGCGATCCAATCTGTTCATATTTATCTTACTCACTTGCCAGCCACCCAGTCAATCTATTCATCGCAGTTTGCACCTTCCTAATTCCTTCTTCCACCTTTTTCTCAGTCGCCAACAGAGCAATGTCGTCCGCATACCCGGTTATTTATTTTCCCGAATAAGTGTGATTATGGGACACTTGTTGATCCTGTTCAGGAAGCGCTGTTGCCGAAGTTTCTTGACCTTTGTGACTGTCGCGTTGCTATCGCTGAACGAGTGGCCATTTTGATAGTTTTTAGACTAAAAACCGAGTAGATGATGATTATTAATTAATTGATGAGTGAGGGGAGAAAATTAGATAAACAACTTTGAGTTTTGTTTATCATCGATGAGGTTTGGGTTATGTGTACTTACTTCCCCTGAGACTACTTCCTAGCTGTAGACATTGTAAATGTAATCACAAATCCATTCATTGACTTTGGCCTCTTTCAACTTGTCTCTCAGACTTTCCATTAATACATTGTCATAGGCTGCACGGATATCTATAAAGGAACATACTACTACTTCGTTTTTGGTAAACGCTGTATATATGGCATGGGTCAAAATGACCAGATTGTCAATGGTTCCTTTGTCTTTTCTAAACCCATTCTGGAATGCGTTGAAGTAGTTTTTTCTTTCCAGGATTCTCTACGTAATGTTTCTGTGAAGGGTACGCCTTGTCCTGGCAACAAGTAGCCTATATTTCAGAAAATTGTCCAAAGTCATGTTCCTCAGGTAATTTTCCATAGCCTCTTGTCTTTCCTCCGTTAATTTGTTGCAATCTTCATCCCACCAGTTTGGCTTTGGAGTATATTTATTTTTACTTGATCCCAAAACTCTTGGGATAGCTTCCCCAGCAAAGTTATCTATTTTGTCTATGAATGCTTGATAATTCTCAATTTCTTCCCCATCCTTGTAAAACGCCGTTTCATATTTTTCCCAGTCAGCTTCATCAGTTTTCCATTTCCTTAGTGGTTTCCTTTTGTGCTTTTGATCTAGCAGCTGTTTTCTGATTTCACATATGATAGGCAAATTTTCACTAAGTCCGCTCTGGTTATAGACCGACCAGTTGCAGAATATTCCAAGATCCTGAGTTACCATTGTTATGTCTGGGTAACTTCTGTTCTGGTTTGGTGGTGTTATTCTTGTGCTCTTGCCGTCATTTGATATTATTAGATTCTCATTCTCAATACCCCATAGGTTGTGTTGGGCATTTATGTCTTCCATAATAATAAATGCAACTTGTATCCCTCCAAAAGCGTTATGGATGTTGTTTATAGAAAATGAGACATCTGGTGGGCTGTAAACTGTAACAATAGTCATGTCTTTGATTTTAATTCCCATTGCTTGAAACCTTTGATTAAAATTATTGTTCATATTACATGCCTTCCTTGATCAGTATAGCAATGCCTCCTCTTCCATCATCTTTATCCAATCTATGCGTAACACAATATTTGAATTTCAAGACATATTTTGCCTTGAGCGATGTTTCATTGATAAGTATTACATCTGGGTCTTCGCTATTTATCAAAACAATAAGGTCACTATAATTTCTTAGAATGCTTCTAATGTTCCATTGTACTATTTTCATATTACGTTTCTTCCAACTGTAAATCTCTAATAGCGTGTACATCTTCAAATATCTGGGTATGCATTGTGGATTTTCCCATAATAAAGTCCTTCACCTCCTGAAACAATGACTTCTTATATTACATCTAATATTGGTGTTGGCTGTATGGAATATGAACTTCCTGCCACCAAAGCTTCCCTTGGGCTTATTTGGGTTCGAGTTCTAGCTGATGCAGGAATCAGATATTTTTTGTGTCGTACCCTGGTGAACTGGGCATTTTCCTTTTGAGATTGCATGCCGCCGAGGCATATGAAGGGCTCCTTGGTGTGTACTGTGTTGGGTCTCGAAATGTATAGATGTATCTGGTTTACTTCAATTGGTGTATTGGCTTCCCAAGCTCTTCTTGCATGATTTAGGGCTGGGAAATCTCTATGATCTAAATTACTTATTCTTTGTCCAAGTCGCTGTCCTATAATTTCATCTCCTTTCGGATGTTTGTTGCTAGCTTCAAAATAGGATATATTTTCTGTGATCATAGTGGTTTTGATTGCTTTCTGTCCCAGGTATTTCTTACATTACCTGTCTGTAGCTTTGTGCTCCATGTTACAATATAAACAGTTTGGTGTGTTTTGTGTCCACTCACTTTCTCCATGTTACTTTGCACATATTGGGCATCTTTGTTTGCCTCGGCACTGTTTAGCCGTGTGACCGTACCTTAAGTACTTAAAGCACATCAAAACTGGACTTATGTATACTGAAATTAATACATTACAGAAATCTAGGTTAACTGCCCTTGGAATCACTTTTCCCACCACTGATTCAGTATTTACGTATTTGATTTCACCGTTTTCAATTATTCTCTTCTTTAGTCTCCTGGCTTCAACAACCTTTGCTACAGATTTTGTTTTCTCAACTAATTCCTCTTCAGTTATACTTCTGTAGATCCCTCTGGCTATGCCTTTACAGGTAATTAGACTCGCTGGAATATAGGCGTTTAGATTCTCATCTGTTAATATTTGCACTTATATAATCGGCAAATTCAGTTCCCTTTTCTAGAGGTTTTCTCAACTCCACCAAGTTTACTGTTTTTCAATAGTCTACCTACACTCATGGGGTGCAAGTTTCCAATATGATCCTCATTCTTTCTTCCGACTATGACCATGTAGGGTTTCGAATCTCTGAAAGTATAGGTAAAATTATGGCTATTTGTCTTTTTTGCTTCCCCCGATGGCCCCCTGTGTCTTCTTTCATGTGATTCTCAAACTATTCTAGGTTAGGAAAAGCAAAAGCAGGAAACAGAAAAAAAGGGCTATACTACTGCAAGCAAGGATTTAAATTTTGTGTTGGGGCCTTATTTCCAGGTATATACTTGATTGATTTTTAGTATTCTAAAACTTTGCCAGTGTCACTCTCTGGCGCCAATCGTCGATCATCTTTTGCGGCATTCTCAGGGTTATTCTACCTGAGTATGACACTTTAAACAAAATTTTGAAGTCAATTCCTTGACCAGATTATAATCAATTTTGCTAACAATTATTTTACCAAGTGACTGGACATCAAGAGCATTTCCATGTTCGTTATTTGAAGATATATTCACTAAAATGGGTGAATGGTCTGCCAGGTCATGGTAAATAACATATGGACTTAAGCTTACTTTTTCGCAAAAAGAAATGGTCAAGGCATTTGCCTGATTCCGGATGGAACAGCTAGAACTGATAGGTAACTGTTGACGTTTTGGTCTTCGTTAGACAAAGTATCCATGTTAGTAGGGAGAATATAGGCGTTCTGGGCCAAAACAGAGACGAGACAAAGAGACACTCCCCCTACCTTTCAAGATACTACACAACCATCCCCTTATGTTTTGCTGAAGTTTGCTGGTTTTCACTGGTTTCGTGCTGGTTTTTCACTGGTTTCGTGCTGGTTTTCACTGGTGTCGCGATAGTTTTTACTAGTTTCGTGATGTTTTTTTTTTTTTTTCTGCTGGATTTCGCTGATTTCCACTGGTTTTCTTCTGGATTTTGCTGGTTTTTACCTGACTTTGAAGGGGGATTGCTACAGATCGAAACTAGGGGGATAATTATAGGAACATTGCAGGGATACTTTACCTACTATTTTGAGTGTGCGATAGGTAGGAGGATGGTTGTGTCTAGAATCTCGAGTGCCTGGTAGGGGGGTACAGGCCGCGTTAGGGGGGTTGTATCCTGAGTGACCGGTACGGGAATACAGGGCACGGTAGGAAGATGGTTGTGTGTATAGTATTTCGGAGACCGGTAGGGGAATACAGGACGCGGTTAGGTTAGTTGTATGTGTCTCTCTCGACTGTAGCTGGGATGGGGATCCACAGAGGGTGTGGTAGGGGGATAGTTGTATCTTAAGTGGTAGGGGAAGTGTCTTTTTGTCTCGTCTCTGTTTTGGCCCAGAACGCCTATATACTCCCTACTATTTATGTCTACCATGAGAAGTTCTATATCACAACTGTGTGCCTATCAGCAAAATATGAATCAATCTCGTTTAAAAAGTCTGAGATAAACATAGCTGTTATACATACATTTAAAAATTCAAGTCTTGATTTAATACTTGTAACACTTATACCATAATTGATAAGCCTAACAGTACCTACCTATAACAACGTCATCACAACATTTGGTTTACCTAAATCAATAGTCCATCATCAGAAGTAAAAAGTAAAGTCACCATTATTGTAGTACCCAGGGATTTGGCTCCAAATTATCCGCTGACCAATAGAATTATAGACTGGGCCCCGTGATTAAAATAACTTTAGCCCTTCGGGCTCGCGTATAACTCCGGCCCTTCGGGTTCGCATATAACTCCGGCCCTTCGGGCTCGCGCATAACTCTAGTACTTCGGGCTCGCGTATAACTCCGGCCCTTCGGGCTCGCACATAACTCCGGCCCTTCGGGCTCGCGCATAACTCCGGCCCTTCGGGCTCGCGCATAACTCTAGCACTTCGGGCTCGCGTATAACTCCGGACTTCGGGATACATTCTAATTAGGAATAAGGAATAAAAAACTGAGATTGAATTTTCACTTTTTTGGGTGGTTGCACGGACCAGATGGAACATGTTATTGTTACCAAGGTTAGGCCTATTAAGCAACGTTGGTACCGAGTTTCTCCTATAATACAGCAACAAATTGATAGGGAATTGGACGAGATGATGACGCTTGGTGTTGTGGAACTGTTGGAAAATCCGTGGTTATCACCAGTCGTCATGGTTAAAAAGAAAGATGGTTCGTGCCGCCTTTGTCTGGACTACAGGAAAATTAATGCGATAGTTATCCGCTTCCTCAGGTTACTGATACCCTCGATAAACTTTCTTAGAGCAAGTTTTATTCCACTATGAACAATAAATCAGCATATTCGGCAGGTTTCAGTCGCCGAGTCTTCTCGTCCCTAATCCGCTTTCACAATCCCAAATCGTGATCTGTTTCAATTTAAAAACTCCCATTCGGGTTACATAATGCGCCTGCCACTTGCCAAAGACTCGTTGATAATGTCCTTGGAGTTGATTTTGAGCCTTATGTTTTCGTGTATCTAGATGATATAGTGGATGTCGAGACGTACTTGAAGGTCCTGGAGGAGGTGTTTCGTAGGCTACGTTAGGCCAATTTCACTGTGGATCGAGCGAAGTGTCAATTTTGTAAACTTAGTCTAAAGTATTTTGTTTATTTAGTACCTAGCCAAGGATTATCCTTCGACCCCGATAAGGTTAGGGCCTCGAAAAATCCGTTCGAAAACACAGAAAAAGCTCTGTGTTACAGGTTATAAACCTGTGGGACGAAGGGTAATCCTTGGCTAGGGACTACATAACCAAAATACCTTACAAAATTGACACTTCGCTCGACCCACAGTGAAATTGGCCTGATGTAGCTTACGAAACACCTCCTCCAGGACCTTCAAGTGCGTCTCGAAATCCACTATATCATGTAGATACACGAAAACATATGGCTAAAGATCAACTCCAAGGACATTATCGACGATTCTTTGCCAAGTGACAGGGGCATCATGTAACCCGAATGGGAGTCTCTTAAAGGCCCAGAAGTCAAGATTCAAATTCTGGAATTCTTCGTATCCTTTTTTTCAAAACACAAATATGACTTATTTATTACTCATAATTATTAATTATCAATTAATATTTACCTTTAAACATCCATTCTCTTAATCTAATCAACCACACACCGATTCATCATTATACCATCAGCACCATTCACTTAACCAACAAACGATTTCTAATGCAACCCAAGGAAAACAATAACTCATCAACTATAGATGAGCAATTAAAAAATCGGTTTTCAATTTCAATTATCCTGTTATAAAGTAAAATTATTTATTACTTTTGGTGCGTCATGGTTGACGTCATTATATAGTGATGAGAATCCCTATATTAAAAGGAATTTTTTTATTATTAGATATTATATTTTCCCTTTTTCGTTTCAGTTACCTGCATCCGGCTGATTCATCGATGTCAATAGGCCACAATTTCACCTAAAACTCATCAAAGCAGGATCCATTTCTGCAGAAAAACCCGCAGCACCGTATATACATACATAGATAAAGATCAAGTCGAATAAAAACCTGATCAAGATGTTCGCCATAATGCAAATAGATAACGACGTTTCTCGCGATCAGTTCAGGAGGAAGATGCGGACGAAGTGCGAGTTCGTGTGCAAGTACTGCCAGAGGAGGTTCACCAAACCGTACAACCTCATGATCCACGAACGGACGCACAAAAGTCCCGAACTGACTTTCAGTTGCGAAGTTTGCGGCAAGAGTTTCAAGAGGCAGGATAATTTGAAACAGCATAGGTAAGTTTTTGTTTTGTGGTTTTTATTTTTTTTTTGTATATAAATTTTTATGTTGAGAAGACGCAATTATGTGAGAATATGCATCAAAAATGTAAAGAGACTGTTATGTATTTTGTAAGAAATTACGCTGTAGATGTGACTGTTTTATTATCAAATCTGACAATGATATATGGACACTTTATAAAAAATAATAATAACAGGTTTTTTTCTACAAACGTGTTAAAAATGCAATTTTAAACAAAAAAAGTTTGTATTTTTAGTTATTTACACTAATATTAATGGTAAAATTTGAACAACTGAGGAAGCTCGATTGGCCGCCTCATCTATATTTTTCAAGGGATCGATGCAACCCTCTTTTTCTTCTGTATTTTCTTGCACTACTGAGACTGACCACGACAAACTTTGAAACTGACAAGACATTTGAAATTACCTGTAAAAAAAACCAAGGTGCTGGTTGCTTGGATTTATTGACAAATGTCAATTTTGATAATTTCACATAGGAAAGATGCTTCCAATTTATTAATCATTCAAAAAATTCAATTTGTTACTGGCTATTGCCGTTTGTAGAAAAAATATTGTATGATATTTGTGTTAAAAGTATTTTTAGGACACTCTTGTGAAAGTTTGCAGAATGAGCGAAGCGAATTCTGCAATTCACATATACCTAGTTGTACAACTTCTAACTAAATCTTCAATATCCTGATCAATTCCTTTCCAATAACAGTAGTTTCTTGCTAGCGATTTCATTTTTACCATGCCAATATAATGAGTGCTATGTAATTTCTTCAGCATTAATTCTTGAAGATTCATTGTAATTATTACTTTCCGTCCTCTGAATAATAGTCCATTTTGTAAAGATATTTCTGAATCTCGTAATTTTCCATTTACTATCTCATTTTTAAGTTTGGATAGATCTTCATCAACTTGTGTTTCTATAGCTATTGATTTTGAATTTAATAAGGGTGTTTCAATTTTTCTCAATGTAATAATGTTTTGTTTGTGTTCATCGATGATAATATTCAACTGACTCTCATCTATCTTTATTGGGTTTCTGGACAAATAATCTGCATTAGGGTGACCATATTTTTTTTGTATGAATGCTGTACACATCTAAAATTTTGGGACAGGTGAGTGAAGAAAGCACTGAATGCAAATTTTGTCGACTTTAAAGCCAGTTTTAGTACCATTCAGCACAAAAAAAAGAAAGACAACATAATAGGTCTGTTCTGTGAATTTCATTGGTTGAAAACCTATGACCGTTTGCACCGACCATTTTAAGAAAGCCTTAGCGATAAGTATCCTTTAAATTGACATTTCTCTATGTAAAAATGTCCTTTTAAGTAATACCTACCAAGGTTGTTTGAAAGAGGTACAGGGATGTTCCAAACTGCACAATTGTGCATATTGATGCACACTTTCAATTTATATGCACAGTATGCACCCCAATCTCTAGATATGCACATTTTGATGTTTAGAATAAATCTGCCATAATTTTTCAGTCGATAAACAACAACAGAACACAAAATATTCTGAATTTAGGGTTTCATTTCAGTACATTTGTACTGAGTGTAACTACACTGAACTCTCTATACATACTCCTATACTCTACACTCAGTACACTCTACTAACCTGTACGCCGCCAAGGATGATACATACTGCTACTATAGGATGGCCTATCCTCATAAAGCCTGCGTGGAACAAATTTCCCCTCTTTCTCCCAAGCCAAATCACTACTTGTGACGTAGACAGCATGTTATTTCTCGCCTTGACGTAGACTATTTAGATAGCTAAGACGTCATTTGCGACGACTAGTTAGACGTCGGAAATGGTGACACACCAATATGGCGGCAATTATAGTTCATTGCCTGTAGGTGTGTAACATCCTTGGTACGCCACTGCCCAGCCGGCTCCAGTTAGTCCAGCCTGCTCAACAAGCGACAATGAAAATACAAAATATTGGCAATCGGAACTGATAACATTGGAAAGCATTGAAAAACAAGGGGATGCACATGAGGTGCTTTCCAGTGACCCACTTGAGTTACTCCTGAGCAGCTCAGGAGTACTCCGCATTTACTGGCGCCGTTCCAGTGCTTGGAGTGTCATGCACTTGAACTACTCATTTCTGTTATCCCCTGCCCTCTCGTGCACCTACCATTGTTTCGGTGTTTCATGCTCCGAAATGGTGCGGGATAGGAAAATTCAGGTTATTTTCATTCGGTTTCTTCGAGAGTGTTCCAGTGCTGCTGATGACCAACAGTTCAAGAGCGTCACACTCCAGGAGCATGATACTCTTATAATTCGTGCACTGGAAAGCAGCTCTGGATGCACATTTTGTGACAGATATGCCCACTTTTTATACTGTCAAGTGCACATTTACAAATTCTCTCGGAACATCCCTGAAGAGGTAGGTTGGCTGATAACTTCTATGACGTCATTTGGATGCCTAAACATCATGCAAATCTCCATTAGAACTTCTTGATGACGTCATCTGTTTCCCATTACCAGACAACCTATTAACTTTAGGAACCTTGGGTTGAAACTAGTTTTCTGACTGTTTCTGATTTTCTGACTATTTTCAACCAATGAAATTCGCGCTGACTAGTTTGTGATTGCTGCAGAAACAGATCTTTTATGCTGTATTTTCATCTTAGCAGCGTGAATAGTAAGAGATAAAAAAGGTAGTTAGCATTAAAAAGAATAATACTCTGGGAGATGATGGCGTAAATGACGTAAATCGCAAATGTAGAAATGTCGTTAGTTGACGGACAATTTTTCGTAAATTTTTTTTAAGAAAAACTTATTTAGGATCGGATCCGTATCGCTGTACGTTTGCTGTACAAAATCAAATGCTGGACAGACTTTGAAAATGCTGTACAATACAGTGAAATGCTGTACGTATGGTCACCCTAATCTGCATTTATGTGTTCGAAAGATTTTCTGTATTCTATGCAGTAATCAAAACCTGACAAAAACTGAGCGAACCTTATCTTCCTAGTCGTTGATAAAACTGGTAATGGCGAGTTTATAAAAAAAAAATTAACACTTAAACTAAGAATTAACATTTAACTTAAATAGTTGACGTTATGATATGCAACGTAGCGGTTCATAAAAAAAAAGTTAAGACTTATCAACTAAGAATTAAGAATTACATAAGCGCACGTAGAAATTCTTAGTTGTAAGTTAATTTATTTAAATTAGTTTAAGTGTTAATTTTTTTTTATAAACTCGCCATAATTGTTTTGGAGGATTAAAAATTGTCATTAATGGTTTATTATCAACTATAAATATAAATTTTCTCCCAAAAATATAGTGATAAAGTTTTTTAAAACACCAAATTGCTGTAACTTCGCTATCCAATTGACTATAATTTTGTTCTGCCCTAGTTAGTGATCTCGGAATAAAAGTTAGGTAATGCTCTTTCTGATCCATCAGACAATCTGTAGGACAAAACTCCGGAACTTCCGTAAGAGCTGGCATCTGTAGCAGGTAAAACTGGTAATTCTGGAGTGAATGGCATCAATACTCTATCACTGGTAATTTCTGTTTTTGCTCGAATAAATGCTGACTCGCATTGGTTTGTCCAATTAAATTTAACATTTTTTCGAAGTAGGCTGTTAAGTGATTGTAACATACTTGAGGCATTAGAAAAAAATTTGTCATAGTATCTAACCATACTTAAAAAACGATTGTACTTCTTCAAGGTTTTTAGGTCTAGGTATATCAAGTATAGCCTTAATTTTTTCTTTTGATTTCTGAAGTCCCTTTGCAGAAATCACGTGTCCAAGATATTTTATTTCTTGTTCAAAAAATTTATATTTTTCGCGATTTAAATATAAGTTATATTTTCTTAGTCTTTTTAAAACTTTCAGAAGACGAATTTTACATTGTTCCATGGTTGATCCTTGTATTAAAATGTCATCAAAATAGACTACTGTACCTTCTAAGTCATTTGTATTTTGATCAATCATTTTATGAAACTCGTTTGGTGCCGTCTTTATTCCAAAATTTAATCTTTTAGTTTTGTATGTTCTTCTATGTGTCGATAAGGCTTGTATTTTTGCACTCTTCTCCCTCATCAACGTGTAGATATGCTTTGTATACATCTAAGGTGCAAAAGTATTTCATTTTATTGAAAATGTCTTCTATTTTTGGTATTAGATATCTATTATTCTGGAGCTGAGGATTTACTGTCAGTTTGTAATCAGCACATCATATCCTGAATTTCCCATTATTTTTTGGTACAATGACTAAAGGTGTTCCCCATTCAGAATAATCTATTTTTTCGATTATTATGCCTTCTTTTTCCAATAAATCTAATTCACGATCTACTTCTTTCATAAGGTATTCTTCTAGGTTTGTGAATTATTGGTTTTGCGTTTTCTTTCATAAAAAGTGTTTATTTTGTTTCAGTTATTTTTCCTATACAGTTTCTGTAAAAACGTCTTGAAATTGTTCAAAAATTCCAGATTTATTTGTTATTTTTCCTCCGTTGCTTTCAAGCTTTTCTTTCTTATTTGTTGAAATTAGAAAAATATTGATATTGAGAACCTGGGATAGATTTTCTCATATTATGTTTCCCTTCTTTTCTTCTTTATAGCTTTTTCTTATATTCTTCTTTAATCTTCTGGAGAATGTCCTTTTTCCATGTTTTTCATTTGAGCCATTTTTTTGTTTTCATTTCAGTTCTTTTTCCACTCTTTCTTTCGTTCTGGGTTTTCCTTAATTTCCTTTGCTCCTCTTCTGCTTGTCTTCCCAATCTTCTGGCTCTTTCACCTGCCTGCCCTACTACAATATGTTTTCCCATTTTTTTTTTGCATCTTTTTCGCAATTTGATCAGGGGGGCTTTATCTGAAATTGATGCAACTTTGCATACATGCAAATGACGTCATTCGTAATTGAAAAGAAATGCACTTTTTCAATCGCAACTGACGTCATTTGCGTGTACGCAAAATTGCAACAATTTCAAATAAAGCCCTCCAGTTTGATTAACATAAACTTTGTGACCTGAAGCTCCATCTCAGATAACTTAAAACCAAATCGAGTCCTTTCTAAAATTTTATAGACATGAAAATTAATCTAATTATACTTATAAGAGTTAGGCTGACATTCCAAAAGTTAACCAGGATACTTCAAAATCATGCTGTCACTTGGGAAATAAGCTGGGTCGTTTCTGAGATACTCAAAACTAGCTTAGGGACTTAAAAATTTAGCTGGACAAGTCCATTAAGAATATTACAACTGAATCGTTTCTGAGATATTTAACCTAAAAATTAAGTTGTGTCACTCAAAAACTGAACTGGAGCCATTTTTGAGAAAATCAAAACTAAGAAACTTGAAGATTGATCTACTCAAAATCAAGCTGAGAAGCTTTTGAGACATTTAAAATTAACTAAGAGGTTTGAAAATCAAGTCGTACCACTAGAAATTTGATTTGAGACGCTTCTGAGATACCCAAATCTAATTTTGAAGCTTGAAGAGATGAACCATTTAAGCTTTGAGCTAAATCGTTTTTGAGATACTCAAAACTTTGAAAATCTGAGACATTTGGGAATTGGGTCGCTTCTGAGACATTCGAAATCAACTGATAGTTGAATCACTCAAAACTGAGACACACTTCAAACTATTCTGAGCAACTTGGAAATCAAGATGTAGTGTCACTTGAAAATTGAGCTGAATGGCTTCTGAGATATTGAAAACTAACTCAGAAGGTTGAAAATTAAGCTGAGTGAGACAAGAATAGAGCTGAGACGTTTCTGAGGCAGTCAGCTCAAAAACTGCTAGGTTCTGAGATGCTCAAAACTAACCAACAAGCTTTAGAGAACTATAAATTAAGCTGAGTCAGTGAGTCGTTTTTGAAGTCAATTAAAATTACCTTAATGGCTTTCAAGTCAAGTTGAATCGCTAAAGAATTAGGTTGGAAAGTTTTGAGATACCCAAAACTAACTAGAGACTTGAAAATGTATGTGAATCACTTAGGAATTAGGTTTAGTAAGGTAGCTACCTTATGATTTATTTTTATTTTATTTTATGGAGTTTGAGGCATCCCGAATGAACATTTAGACACAAAATCTCAACAAAAGAAATTTTGAAATTTCATCGTTTTAGTAGTAAATATGATTTAGATTTTGGAAAATTTCGAAAGGTCATAACTTTTTTTCTATTAGAGATAGAGAGTCGTTAAGAAGGCTTAAAAATTAGGCTGAGACACTCAAGAATATAGCTTAACAGTGAGCTGGATTGTTTCGCAAGCTTAAAATAACTAGAAATTAAGCTGGAGTTGCTTCTGACTCAATCAATGGCTTGAAAGTCAAGTTGAATCAGTTGAGAATTAGGTTTGAAGGTTTCAAGATATACCTAAAACCAACTTAGAGACTTAAAAATCGATGTGAATCCCTTAAGAATTAGGTTTGGTCGTTTCTGAGATATTTAAAACTAACTAAAAGGTTTGAAAATTGAGCTGAGGTGCTTAAAAACTAAGCCCTGCCACTCAAGCATACAGCTTAGTCGGTTCTGAGGTATCGAGCTTAAAAGTTTATCTAAGTCGCTTGAAATTTGAGCTGGATTGTTATCCAAGGTTCAGATAACTGGAAATCAAGCGTCTGACTCAATCAAAATTACCTCAACAACAACAGTCAAGTTGAATCACTTAAGAATTGGGTTGGAAGGTTTTGAGATACCTTAAACTAACTAAGAACCTTGATAATCAATGTGAATCAGGAATTAGGATGAGTTGTTTCTGAGATACTTTAAACTAACTTGTAGGCTTGAAAATCAAACTGAGAAGCTTGAAAACTAAGCTGAGTCCCTTAAGTATATAGCTAAGTCGTTTCTGAAGAACTCAGCTTCAAAGTTGATCTAGGTTACTTGAAAATTAAGCTGGATTGTTTTTGACATACTAAAAATTTACTGAGAAGCTTGAACATCCAGTTAAGACAACTTAAATTTGAGCTGAGTCGCTTCTAAGACACTCAAACTAACTAAGAGTTTAAAAAAATCGAGCTCATCAGTCACCCAAGATTGGTTTAAATACCCAAAAACTGATCTGATTCACTTTTGAGACACTCAAAATTCACTAAAATACTCAAAAATTGAGCTCAGACACTCAAGAAACTTGAACATCAAGCTGGGACACTGAAAATTAAACTTATCGCTTTTGTGACATTAAAAGTAAGCTTACAGGCTTGAAAATCAAGTTGAGAAACTTGAGAACCAGATTGCGATGCTTTTAAGTTCCTCAAAATTTACTAAAATACTTAAAAGTTGAGCTGAGACACTCAAGAAACTTGAACATCAAGCTGGGACACTGAAGATTAAACTAATCGCTTCTGGTACATTAAAAGAAAGCTTACACGCTTGAAAATTAAGTTGAGAAACTCAAGAACCAGATTGCGACACTTTTGAGGTCCTCAAAATTTACTAAAATGCTTAAAAGTTGAGCTGAGACACTGAAAAAACTTAAACTTCAAGCTGAGACGCTGAAAATTAAACTAATCGCGTCTAAGGCATTAAAATTAAGCTAAGGCTTGAAAATCAAGTTGAGAAATTCAAGAACCATATTGAGGCGATTCCGAGGTCGTCAAAACTGACTAAGAAGTTCGAAAATCGAGTTAACGCTTACATCAGCTTAGTTATTTTTGAGAAATTGACTGATAAGTGGATTAGGAAGACAAAAATCCTTGTTGAAAAACTGGCTATAACTTCTCAAAATTGATTAAGAAACTTGCAGATCAAACTGAGAAACTCAAAACTTAAACAAGATACTCAGGCTTTTAAACACTTCGTCACTGAGAATTGACTAAAATAGGCACTTGACAAAAATCCTTTTCAGGCTGCAGCAATGAATTTTGGCTAAATAACTTGAAGAGGTGAGACGTTTCTGAGACAAATAGGTTGCTCAAAAATTGTATTGAGATATCAAAAATTAGTTCACATTCATAAAATTTGAATTGAGAATCTCAAAACTGTTAAGTTTGTGTTAAATTCAAAATTACAACTAAGAGACTTGCAGATCAAGTTGAGATACTCAAACTTGGTTGAAACTCAATCAGATACACCTAAGAATCAAGATGAGTGACTGACTGAGACTATAATTGCTAAAAATGCCTATCCAAAAGTATAATGTTGCTGCTTGAAATCCAATCCAGATTTTCCTATATTATCTTATTCAGTTTGCAGCTTTCCAGCTTTTCTGTTTTTCGACGACAACTTCTCATATTAGGTAGCTCAATTACCTCTCACGTCAATTTTGTACATTTTGAAGCATGATTCTATAACAAAATAAGTAAAATCCTAAATTTCTTTATGGTGCCCATTAAGATTTACAACAGCATATTTAACCATCTTTCGAATAATATTTACCCTGACTTAATCTGCGGAGTCACAGATTAGATTAACAAGACTTAATCCACACTTGTAAAGATTTTTTTTGCTCAAGCCCCTATTATTTGGGTCACGAATTCTTATATATTTTAATTTTAATGCTCTCTGGTCTTTTGTTCCTACATTGGAAACGCAATAAAGCAAATCAGTCAGGGTCTGTTGGCTATCTATGAGGTTAATATATTCACACCTGAAATTATATTTTTGGCGATTATGCTGGTTTTAATATCCTGAAACGAATCGTGTTTAATGGGATTTTTGATGCATATTTTCCACAGCTATAATATTGCATGGCATGAATACTTTTCTTTTAACCACAACAAGTTTTAGTTTTAACTTTCCTTTTTTCACTATTACTAAAATCACTGTTTTTTTTTTGGTTTATGGTATGTGGTTATGGAAAATATTTTATGCTGTGTCATATTGTAGTATTTTGTAAATAAATTTTTAACTAATTTCTATTATTTTAGATGTAATCAGTGTGTGTGGCGATAAGGTGGTGAGACCCTTAATACGGTGAATAAGGGCTAAAAAAAAAGGGGCTCTTCTTCTATATTATTTATAATGTAAGACATCTATATTTTCACTTAACTAACAAGTAGTTTTGTTCATTACTAATGCTAATACGAGAGGCTTGTTTTATTTTGAAATTTTGCATAACAATTTTACTTATGATTTTTATTATTTTTTTTCTTCCAGAACAATCCATTATCCATGTTCCAGCCCGACTTTTACGCATTACAATCGCTACTAAACGATAATTTTTTAATGAAAAACGCACAACAGTATTCTTTTAATAATGCCTTAGTAATCTTGCCCTCAAAATTATTTTTGTTTTAATTATTTATTCTCCCTCCCTTTTAGCTCCTTGTATATAATTTATATTATATTAGATTTATATATTTGCCTTTATTTATATATTATGATGTCGAAATTTATGTTATTTTTTAACGAGGACTAATTTTGTCTAGTCTAAAAAGAATAGTACTTACTAATTAATTAATATGTATACAGAACGTGTCTATATAGAGATTTTTGTCAAATTTTAAATTACGAATTCTACACACCTATAATAGACACCTTCTTAATTATTTTTATCTATAAGATTTTGCAATACTTGCTTTAGTTTTTTTTATTTAGAATTTTATTTATATGCTTTCAACCCCCAAAAGTAAAAGACTACAAACAAATTAATGCCAGTTTTACAACAACTATATATATTTTAATACCTAGTTTGTGATTTAGCCTATAAGTTTGTGCAATTTTTTAATTTTTTTTTTGTACATATTATTAGCTTTTCAACTATTAGAATCTAAGGGCTTTAAGTGCAGCGAGATCAAACGTTAGTTAAGTTCCTGTTAGCAAACAATAATTGACATTGAAACAATCTAAGGTTTTTGTTAACTACCCAGAACTTAACTAGCGATTGATTCAGCCGAACTAAAACTATGATTGTGTATTTTTTGCTTGGTGCAAAAACATATTTCAATTATTTGATTATTTTTTAATTTTTTTTTTGTATTTGTTTTATTGCGGTATTTGTGCTGGCGAACAAGTACTGGCAAATAAGTTATGTAGCTTTGTCGGAATATAATTTTCTCTTGTAGTTTATTGTGCAAGGTATTTATGATGTCAGTAGATTTTTAATTATTTTTGCCTCGAAATAAATAAATTTAAAAACAAAATAAATGATAATATCCGAATTTGTTGTTTTAATTTGTCCCCCCTTCCTGTCGATTTATAACTAGATTTTCTCAATTATTATTGATTTTTTCTTTGTGCTGAGATTTCTCTTTATCAAAAACGTATTATTGGAACTCTTTCTTTAAAATTTGTATGTATTTCAAGAGTGGATAACATAGGTAAGTTGCTCTTCTTGGGTTTCTGTTTGATTTCTATGACAGCTTCTTCTGAAACTTTCGTTGTAAGATCTTTGAGAATCTGAAATTTCCAGTAAAGTTGCAGTAAATGGCTACAAATCCTGAAAATTGTAGTCCATTTGGAATTATAGTTCCAGAGATACAAATCCCCTAAAGGCAAGACGAGAGAATTTTCTGGATTTTCAATCTTTCAGCTGCACTATTTTCATATATTTCGGCATTGAATCTTGCATTGATCGACTTTATGGAGTTTGGCGGGTCCCAAATGATTATTTAACATGAAAATCTCAAGATGAAAAAATTTGAAATTTCATTAATGTTAATGAAAGAGGCTTCTAAAAACTATGAAAATTTATATCTTCATTCTTCAATATTAAGTATAATTATCTCCCACTGAATCTGAAATTTTCTGAGAATATGAGACGCGTAAAAAAAGTTAGTTTCACGAGGGTTTGTACTTACGTCATCATTTGCATTTTTTTTTTGAAAAATAGGTTTTTTATACCTGAAATTTCAAACAAACATATAGTTCGTTGCACGGCACGAAGGTTTTTACTTACGTCTTCGATGACGTCATAACTTAGAGAAAAAGTTAAGTTATAGATTAATTCATAGAGCACCTTCGGAATTATTGTTTTGTAATACATTTTTTAACTTAGAATAGAGTTTATTCAGTTATCCGAAAATAATAAATAAATTTCTCCTGGAGTGATTTTTCACTGGAAAATTTTGAAATTTTCCTCTAATGAGCTCCTCACTTTCCTCTTTCTCCTGTAAAAAATTCAAAATTTTCCCTTTGCCAGTTTTCCAGAAAAAAAATAAAATGTAAGAGGTGAATTTTCCTTAATTTCGCCTAAATAAGTCAATTTTCTTTGAATTTTTCCTGGAGTGATTTTTCACTAGAAAATTTCGAAATGTCCCTATTATAAGCTCCTACCTTTTCTCTTTTTCCTGGAAAATGTTTAAAAAAAAAAAAATTAAATGTGAAAGGGTGAATTTTCCTTAATTTTACTTAAATAACTCAATTTTCCAGAATTTTTTCTGGAGTGATTTTTCACTAGAAAATTTTGAAATTTTCCTATAATGGGCTCCTCATTTTCTTCTTTCTCCTGGAAAAAACTTACAAGTTTTGCTTTATTAGTTTACCAGAAATAAATTAAAATGTGAGAGGATGACTTTTTCTTAATTTTACTTGAAAAAGTCATTTTTCAGAATTTTCCCGGAGCGATTTTCCATTGGAAAAATTTTGAAATTTCCTTATAATGAGCTCCTGACTTTTCTCTTTTGCCAGTTTTCCAGAAAAAATTGAAATGTGAGAGGATGGATTTTTCTTAATTTTATTTGAAAAAGTAAATTTTCCAGAATTTTCCCTGGAGTGATTTCTCACTGAAAAATTTCGAAATTTCCCTATAATGAGCTCCTCATCTTTTTCTTGGTAAATTTCAAAATTTTCCCTCTGCCAGTTTTCCAGAAAAAAATTAAAATGTAAGAGGGTGAATTTTGCTTAATTTAACTTGAAAAAGTCAATTTCCCAGAATTTTTCCTGGAGTAATTTTCTTTAATTTTGCTTAAAAAAGTTAGTTTTTCAAAATTTTTCCTGGAGTGATTTTTCACTGGAAAATTTTGAAATTTTCGTAAAATGAGTTCCGCATTTTCCTCTTATTCCTGGAAAATTTTCAAAATTTTCCCTTTACATACTAGTTTTCCAGAAAAAAATTAAAATGTAAGACGGTGAATTTTGCTTAATTTAACTTGAAAAAGTCAATTTCCCAGAATTTTTCCTGGAGTAATTTTCCACTGGAAAATTTTGAAATTTTCTTATAACGAGCTCCTCACTTTTCTCTTTCTTCTGGAAATAAATTGAAATGTGAAAGGATGATTTTTGCTTAAAAAAGTCAATTTTCCAAAACTTTCCTCTCGACTTTCCTTGGAGTGATTTTTCACTAGAAAATTTTGAAATTTTCCTATAATGAGCTCCTGACTTTTCTCTTTTGCCAGTTTCCCAGAAAAAAATTCAAATGTAAGAGGAGGAATTTTCCTTAATTTTACTTGAAAAAGTCAATTTTCCAGAATTTTCCCTGGAGTGATTTCTCACTGGAAAATTTCAAAATTTCCCTATAATGAGCTCCACACCTTCCTCTTTTTCCTAGAAAATTTTCAAAATTTTCCCTCTGCCAGTGTTCCAGAAAAAAATTAAAATGTAAGAGGATGAATTTTGCCTAAGAAAGTCAATTTCCCAGAATTTTTACAAAAAAAGACCTGTGGTTTACTTACTTCGACGGGTAATCCGCAAAAAACATCTGATGCAAATTAAGAAAAAAGACAAAAATCAGGGGAAATCATAAGAAAATCAAGTAAAATCTTAAGGAACTCAGGGGAAATCTTAAGGAAATCTTGTGGAAATCAGTCATCTTTAGATCTAACGTATGCGCAGTTTTCAAAAATCTTCATAATTTGAGGTTATGTTATCAGGGAAACTCTTGGCAATCTTCCTGGGAAAATCAGGAGAACTTATGGGAAATCATCCATGATTTTCCCTGAAACCACAATCTGGTAAGGGGTAACAGGTAATCCCGCAAAGGAAATTTGGTGTACAAATTGGGTAGGTAAATCAAAAGAATATCCGAGGAAATGTAAGGCAATCAGGGAAAATCCCAAGAAAATCAGAGAAAATCATAAGAAAATCAAAAGAACTCATGGGAAATCATCCGTGATTTACCCTAAAATTGCAATATGGTGTAGGTACAAAAATAGACCTATGCCAGTTTACCCCAAGGGACATCTGGTGTATAAATTAAGAGAAAATCTGTCAGGAAATTTGAAAGAATATCCGAAAAAAACTAAGTTAATCAGAGAAAATCATGAGGAATCAAGAAAAATCCTAAAGAACTCAGAGGCAAACTTAAAGAAAGCATGGGAAATCTTGGGGAAATCAGTCAATCTTTAGATGCGCAGCTTTCAAAAATGTTTATAATTTGAGGTTATGTTATCAAGGAATCTCTTGGAAAATCTTACTGTTAATCAGGAGAAATCAGGGAAAATTAATGATTTCCCGTGAAACCACAATCTGGTATACGAAAACTCACCTGCGGTTTACCCCGAGAGGTAATCCGCAAAGGAAATCTGGTGTACAAATTAAGGGAAAATCAAAAGATTATCCAAGGAAACCTAAGACAAATAAAAATAAAATTCAAGAGTCAGGAATAGGACAAATATGTGTCTTTTTGTAATAAATTATTTTTCTATTCCTCATTTTTCTTCGTCTATTCCTGGCTTGAATTTCTGTTTTCTGTTTTAATTTTATTCTCTATCTGTTATTTTTCTTCTTCGTCTCAATTTTTATCTTGAAATTATTTTACTTGATTTTGTTCCTATATTTCTTAATATTTTCGTCTATTCCCGACTGTTGATTTGCCGAATTCTTGGTTGTTTGTCTTCTTTTTTTTCAATTCTTATTCAATTTTCTATGTCTTATTTTTCTTTGTTCCAATTTTTGTCTATTTCCGGTTCTTAAATTTTCTGTTTTTCAAAATGTTTCTGCATAAAGTTCATAAGCCTGGACTAGGAAAAATACGTGTTTACTTGTCTACCGTCTATTTCTTTCAATTTTCATTAAATTCTCTTTATATTTCTCATTTTTCTCCGTTTCAATTTTTGTCTATTCCTGGCACTTGAAATTTTTGGTTTTTCAAAATTTTTCTAAAAAATCACCAATGTAGGAGTAAACCGCAAGGGAAATCTGTTGTACAAATTAGGGGAAATTAAGAGGAAATTCAAGGGGAAATCCCAAGGAATTCAGAGAAAATCATAAGGAAATCTAAAGGAACTTGAGGGCAATTGTTAAAAACAATGAATGTATTTAGTATGACGTCATGATTCTGTGTGTCATGTCCTTGATTAGTCAGGAATATGTAAATGTAAAACGTATGTCTTTTATTGTAACAAGTCTGAAAAAATGTCAAGTTAAAAAGTCTCTTGTCATACACTGAAAAATAACGGCACGCGTGAATTATCTGTGGTTGTTGTAATCCGGGTAACTTTTGAATAAATTAATGTAAAAAGTGATTTTGTTTAATTGCTCAATATTAGAAAAACGCCCAAATCTTTACAGGTTATGGGCCCAGACTCGCTGTCTGCGGGGCGTTTTGTGTTTTGATTGAGCAATTATTGAGGTTAGAAAAGACTTCCTTGGCGGGAAAGGCGAGTGAAAAGTGGTGAAAAATTACTGAAAATTGTTGGAAAATACCGTCAGGAAGAGATGGAGCAGTCTATGAGCATTAAATTTACCGGAGAAAATTGGGCGACATGGAAATTTCAAACGACCATCATGTTAAAATCAAAAGGCCTGTTTGAGGTGGTCACAGGTGCAATTCCGAAGCCCCACCCGGATCCTAATGGTGATTGGGATCGAAGGGATGCCAAAGCCCAAGAAATATTAGCGGTTAGAATGGAAGAAAAACCACTGACACACATAATTTCATGTCAAACATCGGCAGAAATGTGGGAGAAATTAATGTCCATATATGAACAAAAATCACAAGTAAGTGTTCATCTTTTGCAACAAAGATTTTTTAGTCTTAATTATCAGCACAGTAACGTGGCTGAGTTCATTTCCCAACTGGAAGAAATTAAAGGAAACCTAAAGCACTTAGGGGAAGAGCTGAGTGACAAAATGGTGATGACCAAAATTTTAATGTCGTTGCCTGAAAATTTAAAGCATTTTGTTAGTGCCTGGGAGTCAACTCCAAGCAGTCAACAAACACTAAAGGAACTAACTTCAAGATTGTTAATTGAAGAAGAAAGATTGAAGCAAAGTGATCCGCCAGTGGCTTTTGCAGGTC